GATAGAAATTTTCTTTCTTCATTCTTTGCGATTTACAAACAAAAAGAGGAGTTAATTAATAATAATAATATTAATAATATCAATTAATGGGCGACTGACATGAATTGAATCCGTGCATGGCAGATCCACAATCCACTGCCTCGATCCCCTTGTTTACATTCAACCTTGGAAAGATAGAAATAAAGATTATATAAAATATATGAGAAAAATTGTTTATTATCATTTTTTTATTATATTGTGTTTATTCATTAATATTTTTACTTTTTTCCTTCTTTGTTTATAATATACTACTTAATATATATTCGTTTGTATATTTCAATTAACGGTGTTTATAGTGCATTATTAACCACTATTAGTTTATAATTAACAAATATATTTTTATTGACTTTTTAAATTGACATATAAATCATAGTTCTTTTTTTTTTTTTAATCAAAATTTTGTTTTACCCACACCCCAAAAATATTTTCTAACTTTGCCTCTAGTTCACGAGATCTTGAGAAGCAGACTTAAATTGTTAGATATATAGTTAGGCAAAACAATTATATAACAATTATATTCACACTTCTATTACCACATCACATGGGGCATGGGCCTCAACTCAAACTCCCACGCCGGTATTTCCTCATCACAGCATAATATCCCACCTGTCTGGATCCCTCCTAATTGTTGGAATTTGGGTGTTCAAATAAGAGAGTTGTAGTTTTTCTATGTCAATTAACGTGTAAAGGTAAGACTTTTACTAATTGCCAATTTTCAAAAAAAAAAAAGAAAAGAAAAAAGGGAGGGGGGGGGGGGAGGAGACAACACTTTCTCCCTTTTGACTTAACGGATTTCCTATTTTTAGTCCTTTTGAAAGTTATTTGGAGAAATTGTTAATTCTTCCACCTCTCGGGTATTCCCTTCTAATTGTTGGAATTTTTCATTTATATCTTGCTTTTAGGCTATTATTAATTAGTTGTCATGGGGTATAAATACTCCTGCATGGGATTAATGTTTAAAGGATGGAAAGACAAGACAAGAGTATTGGAAGAAAGACATTTTACTATATTTGAGAGATGTGTATGGAGAATTATATATAGAGGTTATTGTTTAGGCTGTAGGGTAGATAATATAAGGAAGTAAATCAATTGTATTAAAACACTTAAATATAATCTACTAATAATTAATATTAGAATTAAATATATTATTTGATCAATCAGATTGAATCTCATAATTCATTAACACATGGATAGTGTGAAAACTCAGAGAGTTGCACAGAAACTAAAACTCATTTCTTTCCTTCATTACCTTATTCAACCTCCACTGCTTTAATTCACCTTTGACTGTATTGTACATCATTTTTCAACAGTTTGTTTTTCTTTCATGTTTATCATTTTTGAAGCATTAAAAAGTTTGAAAGTTCTAAGAGAGCACAACTGCGGTGACACGCTATTGAATTCTAGAAAGTAGGTTGCAACAAGAAATAGTCTCCAAGCAACCTATATATACTTATATTGACAGTGACTACACGTCCCAACTAGTCTTGGCCGGTGCTTGTTCTGAAATCTTTCATATTTTTTCTCTTATCTCCTGGTATTTTTCCAACGCTAACATCATAATCGCATATTTTGTTGTAGTCAACTTACAAAAACTTTTTGGGCTTTGCTGAGCCATTGCTCAGGGATTGCTTCAATCCTCCTACCAAAGGGACGCACAGCTCGTTCTTAGTTTAAAATCCCAGGAGAATTACGGCTGGGATTATGGTTAGGCTATTAATGATTTTGTTCAGACAATTAATTTTATCTTCAATTTTATTATTTTATAAATTTTTTTAAATAATTAACATATCAATTTATAAATTGATTATAATTTATTAAATAATAAATATTAATTATTTTATTAATTATTATATCTTTTTAATAATTAAATTAAAATTAAAATTTATTAACATTGATAGTCTTAACAAAATTAATAATGATCATAAACATAACTGAGAATTACATAAAGATATCACATGTAATATCACCTAGTGAAATTAATTTATACTGTAGATATTATTATATGGGATGAAATTCTAATGAATCACACAGATGTTTTGAAGCAGTGCTGCCAGTGCATAAAACACGACGAGATGTAATGCACTGCCAAATTACTTAATTATTCAAAGCAAAGGATCGTTCATTCGGGGAGCACAGTTGTTCTTGGACTGAATAAGGGTTAAGTATTGCACTATCCTTAAATGAATAAAAATAAATAAATTTTTATTAAAAAATAAACATTTCTATTTAAAATTTTCTTTTTACAACTTAAATTATATAAAATTATAAAATCGAAACTACTGGAACACATCAGAGACATTGGACATTTAGTCTTTATACCGTCCTTTATCACTTCTCTTTTAGCCAAATTGATGCTTATCAACTGTATTTTTAATAAAAAAAATAAGAGAAAGGTATTCCAAATTTATGTTTTTTTCAATAGGCCTAGGCGGTTATATTTTCTCAAAAAGAAAATCCTCACAACATTTATAATATGAGATCCACTTGACACATTTCCTACTAAACATAGACACCTTCTAGTAATCTCAAAATACTTTCAATATCAATTAATATTTAAGTTAAAAAACCAGCATATTTTGTTTGAAATATACTCAAGAATATACTCAAGAATTTGCCCCTACTCAAGAGAAGGAAGGACAGAAGACAGACTGACAGCGAAGGAGATCACATTAGAAAGCAAAGCCATTTTGGAGATAGAAAGTCACCATGTAGCGGCGGAGCTAGTAGGACAGAGTGCAAACTCACAGAAGACGCCGCAAATAATAAATGTGAAGAGATGGAAGACAGTGCAATTCGGGAAAGGGAGCCAGAAGTGTTTTGCCTTACGAACAATAGTTTTGAAATTTTGGGCCAAAGGAAAACCCGACAGCATGAAAAAAAAGGAAAGCCCAAGACAAATCTGATCAAAACCCAGAATGATAATAAAGAAAAGGAGAAGGTGGATAAAGAGCCCCTTAATTTAAGCCCAGATGACCAAATTGAGTTGGAAAAAAAAAAAAAAAGAATTTGCCCCTGATTTTTTTTTTTTTATATTAATCTCTTAATATTCAGTAACTATATTGAATTTCGACTAATTAGATATCAAGCAGCATCAA